CACTGCAGAGGTGGGGGGGCTTGGCCCACCCGGCCGCGACCCAGGGCCCTAACAGTGGAGTATTCCACCACTGGGTCACCAACATGCTGACCGGGTCTCCAGCAGCAATGCAGCCAGACTATGGTCGGTTGCCCCTGGGACACTTCCTCTCCTCTCCTCCCCTTGAAGTATACCCATCCATTTCCCCAAGGTAGAAGGCCAGCTGCAGTCCCAGCAACTCATCTGTGGCTTAGTCAGTGGGTGGCTCCAGTGGCTCTGGCCAGTCCTCAGCTCCACAGGGTGCAGTCTCCCAGGTCAGGAGTGGGCTGGAGGCATCTGGCTCCTTTGGCCGCTGCAGCCCAACTGAGCTCCAGGACCCGCCCTTTATACTTGTTCCGCCCCCTGACTTTCAGTGGGAGAGGTGAGCATGTCCTGGCTCCGTTCACCAGGGTTCAAAGAGTGATGCCTCCCCCTCTGGCTCAGTGGGAGGCCACTCCATCTCACTACAATGTCATTAGACCTCTTTGGAGGAGGGTTGGATGACAGTGTAAAATATGCCAATGACAAAAGACAACTTCTTTACACTAGGGTTCCCATTACAGCTGTCACTAGTGGAGCTGGACTGGTGGGCAGAAACATGCAGACAAAGACAAAAGATAGTACCGGGAAAAAAAAAAGAAAAAAAAAAAAAGAGCAAAGTGACAAGCTTACTAGCTATACTAAATTTTGGTGAGCTATTCTTAGGATTTTGGATGCCCTCTCTACAACATATGATCTCATATGCTGCTTTTCAATTTTCCATTTACTGCAGTGACAACCCTGTTTATTCCTTACCGACAGTATATCACAATTTCACTACCTAGTTGATTCAGTACAAGCAGTGAGGAAAATAAGATTCTATTGGTAGAGTATTACCCAAGTTACAAAATCACTTTATTACTCTATTATGTGCCTAAAATTTCTGGAGCACTGAAACAGATTTATTTTTATAGTGAAGTAACAGCATATATTAATGAAATCCAGGTTCAGATTCTGGAAAAAAGTCTTCCTTAATTTTATATTTTTGTAGCTTTACATCTACTGCCTCACTGGGAAAAGATCAACTGACTATTTAGTATGTCTGTCCATCAGAACTTAATGATTACATTTTATTCAATATACATAGGAGGAGGTGGTTATTGTATGTGACACTGGAGATAAAACTTACTTTGTTAAATTTAATTTTCAAACAAATTCCATCTACTCTTTCTAGTATGCATTTTGTTCTCAAACAAGTAGTTATTCCAATTTTTATCACTGAGCTTTCTTCTATAATCTGTAATATATAATTGCCCAAGCCACAAGTGATTTTTAAGCACCAATTATGGTGAATGATGGTGTAGCAATTCACTCCTAGGTTCACAACATACCTGGTCCAGCAGTGTGGTGTTGCAGTGCTTTTTAAAAATCAATTATTAAGTACATAAATACAAACCTCTTAAAATATACTACTTGCTTCATTTAAGCACAATTCTTGGTTAAACCATGTATATTTTATTTCTATTTACATTCAGACAATTATACAATGTATCAGGCGTGTAATCCATGACTAAGACCTACAGGGGTTTTTATTTTATATTTGTCTTAAAGCACAGTTCTGCTCTGACAAATGATTATGTAAGAATGGTACCTTCTAACTCCAAAGATCCACCTCCTTGGTGTTATCTGCATACTTTAGTGACTAAGGGCCAAACCTACAAAGGGACTGAGCATCAAAACTTTTAGGTGCCTAGAAAAAAATCACAAGAACAATGCTGATCTACAGAGCCTGAGTTAGGTGCCTAGGCTCCCTATACAATGAATGGGGAGAGATAGGCACCTTAGAACACAATCCACAAAGACAGCATGCTAGGTGGGGAGCCTCTTAAGCCAGTGGCTCTCAACCTTTCCAGATTACTGTAGCCCTTTCAGGAGTCTGATTTGTCTTGCGTTCCCTTTTCACCTCACTTAAAAACTACTTGTTTACAAAATCAGAGATAAAAATACAAAGGTGTCACAGCATGCTATTACTGAAAAATTGCTTTCTCATTTTTACCATATAATTATAAAATAAATGGATTGGAATATAAATATTGTACTTACGTTTCAGTGTGATACTTGAGCCTGTTTTTCTCTTGTGAGCCTTGTCTGAAGCCAGAGCCCCATGCGGTGGGGCTGAAGCGTGTAACTTAGCTTCGCAGGGCCCTGGACAATTGCCCTGCTTGCCATCCCCTAATGCCAGCCCTGCACTTGCAATCCCCCTAAACCCATCCCATAATCCCCAGGTTGAGAACCAGTGATCTAGATGAGTTGAGTACCCCCTGGAAGACCTCTCAGTACTCCTAGTTGAGAACCACTGACCAATGGAAGACACCAATAAGAGAAGTGTATCCTAAGCCCTGCCTGTAGCATGGAGATAGATGCCTAAATCCAGGCTGCAGGGAGGTGCCTATCTCCACTAGTGATTCACAGCCTGTCCCTGAACCCCTCTCCTGGAGTCAGGTGGCTTTGGTGCCTAAGTCATTTCTTGTGAGAATGAGCCAAGCATCTGTCTTAATCCACACAAAACAGTGGTGGTAACAACTTTTAGCCCAGTAGTTAGACCTTGGGATGTGGGAGACCCAAGTTCAATTCCCCCTCTGCTTGAGGGGAAGAAAAGATTTGAACAAGGGTCATCTTCCCTCTCAAGAGAGTGCTTTAACCACTGGGCCATGTTGGTGTTGCCAGAGAGTGAGCTAGCAAATGACTTTATAGGCTGGTGGTTATAGGCATGTACCTGAGAGGTGGGAGATCCACGTTCCAATCTCCCGGCTTCAATGAATAAGTATTATCCAAAGCAGAACAGCTTCAGCTGACAGGGACCCATATCAGAATATCTCACAGCTCAGAGGTTAGACATCTCTCATAAAAGATGTGTGGGAGACCCCTGTTCAAATCTTTCTCCCCCTCAGGCAGAAGGGGGAGCTGATCCCAGGCCTCTCACATCTCAGGTGAGGGCCCTCAACATTGTACTAAAAGTTATCATGTGGGCATCACTCCTCCTCCAGCTAGATTCTGATGGGACCCGATCCAGCAGGCAGCCTCTGAGCACACCCACTTGATCAGGCACAATGGAGGAATTAGGCACTCCTCTGCCTACCTTCCACCAGTCTCTGGATTGCACTGGGTCTTAAGCAGCAGACAGGCATCTGAACAATGCCTAGAGTGAAACAGCAGGGTGCCTGCCCAGATGCAGAAACATAGGTGCCTAGTGAACTCTTAGGTGTTAATTAAGTGTAGGTGCCTACAGCATTAGGCAGCAGCCAAGTGGAGGTTTGGTGGATCAGAGTGGGCCCTGAAACTGGAACTTAGGTACAGTTGCCCTGAACTGTGACAGGACTAAACAGTAGTAACAACTTAGGCCCAGACCCTCAAAGGGGCATAGGTACCTAAACATCAGACTTAGGCATCTAAGTCCCTCTGTGAATCTGATGCCTGTGCCACCCCATTAAAGACAATGGCAATATGCTGACCCCAGTGAAGTCAATGGGGCCGGGATTTTACCCAATGCAGTTAACTATGGCCTAATCTACACTATGAAAAGTTTGCCAGAAGAGCTATAGCAGCGCATCCTCTTAGTGAAGATGTAGCTTATACCAGCACAAGAGTACATCTGCCAGTATAGCTTATTCTAGTTCCCTGAATGAAATGAGCTGTACTGGCAAAAAGACTTTTATGCTGGTATAACTGCATCTACACTAGGAGCTTTTGGTGTCATAGGAATGTCATAACTAATAATAAAAATCCCCCCCCGGCCCCAAACCAACATAACTATGCCAGCAAAACTATCTAGTGTAGACTTGGCCTATGAATTTGGCCTGTAGAATCTTTATTACTGGTAGTAGTGCACAAGCCAGAAAGAACCAAGGTAGACTTTTAGAACCATGTCTGTATGGCAGACGGTTGGAAGACTACGGCCCAGATTCATTACTCTAGTTTTGTGGAAGTATAATTCCACTGAGTTACTCCAGTGGAGTTACAATGATGTAAAACTGAATAGCACTATCGTAAAAAGACTCCATCTTTTCACCTATACACGTAACAAATTTGATATGGAGTCACTGAGACTCAACAAACACGGAGCACGTTAATACCATTTACAGTGTTTTTTTAGAATATAATCACACACTTAAATACAAGCAAGCAACTAAGCTCATACCTATCATCCTCATGAAGGTTTCATGGCAAGAAACCAGGGTGGATAAAAACCAATGATTTAAAAAAAAAAAAAAACACTGATTTTTTTAATTTAAATCGGATTTTTTTGATAAAATGCTTTTTGGAGGAAAAAACCTATCTATCTAAAGGTAAAGATACATTATAGCTCAAAGAGATCTCATCATGGAATAGGGATTATAAATTCTAATTCTATAGTATGAGATGAATATATTCATGTAATGTTTAAGAAAAGTTTTGTAAATGAGTTCCAATAGTTCATGGATTAGGGACCCAATCTTATGGGGTTCCAGGGGCTTCTGTATAGATTATTTAGGTTAATCTTTTTATCTACCCAATGGGACTCAGTGCTCAGTCTAGAAGATACCATCAGAGATGCTTAGTTTTGCAGTTCTCAAACTGTGAATTTGTGTCTCCAGAAATAACATGCTTGTTAACAGCAAAAATGTTTTTAAATAAATAAATAATATACAGAGGTGAGACATAACAGACCTCAACCCTATTGTCCCTCTGCAAATTTGTGTACACAGAGTCAATACCTTACCTCTCTCTAGAAGTGCAAAGTTTCAAAAAGTTCAATGAATTGTTGGGGGCGGAACAGATCTGGACAAGGAGAAAAAGTCTGGAGATGAATGTGAGAAGGGAGGGACAAGCAGTAGAAACAAAAATGAAACTGTTTGAGCAGCATATTCCAGAAGTCTTGAGGTCTTTCTGAGTGTAGCCTTCATTGATTTGAGATCTACCATACCATTCTCTCACTAGAAGGGAAAACCATAATAGCAGCAGGCTATAAAAGAGACCCAGTTTGGGAATACTTTAATGAAGTTCCTCTACCTGTGGCATGCGTGCAAAATGCAAACAGTGCAACAAAGAAATGCAAGGCCTGGTAGCCTTAATGAAATAGCATCACGAGAAGAGTTCCTTCTCAGGAGGAAGCTGCATTGAAGATGATGAAAGGAACATGTCTAAATATGCAGGATCTTCATGTTTGAGCAAAAAATGTAGTTGTTACTCTATGGCACTATCATTTTAGATGCAGTTGTGATAAAAAAAATAAATAGCTGAAATAGGCAGATCTTCCTTGTACAATTTCACCCTTAAAATAGTACCGAGTGTCAGTGAATGCAATGATTAATACTAGATGAGCAGTATGGTAATAATAATTAAATAACTGCATTGACTTATTTTGTTTCGGAGAATCCATCCTCAACATACAGGATTCTGAAGACTATCCACCTTCAAGATCACAATCATTTTCTATAGTTTCAGAGTTATCTGCCAATGACAGTGTTTCAGTCACATCATGTACGTCACAGAGGCACAGTATATCACCTGTAGCAAAAAGAAAAAAAAAATCTCCATCATCCAGAAACAACCATAGATAAATTGGTGATAAGAACCAGCAGATTACAAAAAGAGGTAATTGATGAAAAAATTGCCCAGTTTGTTTATGCAACAAACTCTCCTTTCCGTATGATTGAGAACCCACACTTCATTAACATGCTTCAGTCATTAAAACCAGGATACAGTCCACCCAACAGAGCAGATGTTGCAGGCAAATTGCTGGATAAAGTGTATGAAAGAGAAACTGAGAATTGTGCAAAAGGTCTAGAGGGTAAAATTGTTAACCTGAGTCTTGATGGGTGGAGCAAGGTCCACAATGAACCTGTTGTATGTGCTTGTGTGACAACAGAAGAAGGGAATGTCTTCCTTACAGAAACAAAAAGAAAAGGAGTACTTGTGGCACCTTAGAGACTAACCAATTTATTTGAGCATGAGCTTTCGTGATCTACAGCTCACTTCATCGGATGCATATTGTGGAAACTGCAGAAGACATTATATACACAGAGACCATGAAACAATACCTCCTCCCATCCCACTCTCCTGCTGGTAATAGCTTATCTAAAGTGATCACTCTCCTTACAATGTGCATGACAATCAAATTGGGCCACTTCCAGCACAAATCCAGGTTTTCTCACCCTCTGCCCCTCCCCCAACTCACTCTCCTGCTGGTAATAGCCCATCCAAAGTGACCACTCTCTTTACAATGTGTATGATAATCAAGGTGGCCCATTTAGCACAAATCAGGTTTTCTCACCCTCTGCCCCTCCCCCAACTCACTCTCCTGCTGGTAATAGCCCATCCAAAGTGACCACTCTCTTTACAATGTGTATGATAATCAAGGTGGGCCATTTCCAGCACAAATCCAGGTTTTCTCACCCCCCCCCTTCCAAAAACCACACACACAAACTCACTCTCCTGCTGGTAACATGCTTGGCTGGCTCCCTTGGGTTACCTGAGCTTGTTTCCTTCTTGGGGAAAAAGCTAAATGGTGGAACTCTCCCAAGTTCCATCCACTCACAACACTTAAAATGAGATATCGCTCATGCACTCCCTTGTTGCATGCTTTGATCAGTAGTGAAATTGTTAAATTAGCTGATGTTTAAATAATCATTGCTGGGAATCTGAGTTAACACCTCTGAGTTACCACCACTGAGGATCAACTCATACTCCTTAGACTTATTGTTTCATGTTCTCCCAAATTCAAACAGAAGTTGCTGCATCAGATACATTCAATTCACATTCTAAAGGTTTCTGCACAACACTGAAGGCTAGAGATTTACTTTTTTTAAAAACAAAAGCTTCTATTCTAGAGCACAAGGTTGCAAATTGGGAGAGTAACACATTATTATTGCACACCTTCAAATCTGAACACTGGGGAAAACTGTAAATGAAAGTTAACTGACTGGCTTAAGACCACATAGCAAGTGGTGGGACAGGGCAGAACAGAACACAGAACTCCTGAATCCCACCCCTCCATTCTGCTTACAAGATTACAATATTTATATTTTCATGCTTAAACCCATGTTAAAAGTTGCATGCTTATATTTTAATTCAAAATATTCCTAACTTTATCTTGCAAATATGAGAATATATGCATTTTTAAAAGAATGTAAAATTTCAGATTCAAAGTCAATTAATTGTGATTGTGAGTGTATTTCATGAACAATTAAAAAAAAACCATACTTGAGCTTTCTTAAAACTCAGACATGTTGGGTCATTTTTCACATAAGTAAAGTGTTCAGAATCTAATAGCAGGAACTACTTAGATTCATAAAGCAGTGCTTTATTTGTTACAGCTGTTCTTTTATGATACCTGAACCTAGACATAATTATATCTGCCTGTTATGTCAGAGGAATTTAATTTTAGCAATGTGAAAAACTGCATCATCTTGGAATTCATTCTTATGAATGGTGATGATGCTGAGTCACTTCCTTTGATAATTTAGGCAATTATAATTATAACTTAATTTCTTATGATTTTTCCTAAATATTTATCTACCCCAAAAGAAGGGAGATGGAGGTCCACAAAGATAGGTTGTGTTGGTTCTCGTATCATATTAAATGTACTACAAATCAAAATAAAAAAAAAAAACAATTTATGTTAGTTACATTAAATGTGACCTACAAAGGTTTTTGCTTGTTTGTTTTGCAATTGGACTCATGCTTTATGTTTTCAAAAAAAGTCTGAAAGTTGTATGGATTTTTTTCCTGACTATTTTTTAAACCCTGAAATATTGAGAATGCCAATGCACTGAGGCCAGGAAATGCAAATGTGAATGCATAAACTGTAACTCTATCCCTTTATGCATATGTATTACAATTTATGTGATCACATACTCCTTTTTAAACAACACACAATGTATCATACATATTTCTATAATATTAGGGCACGATTCAGAAAAGCATTTAAGCATATTAGGAAAGTACTTTGCTGAATCAGGCCTTGGATATGCAGGTATAGCAGTTTTTAGTATGGTGTTCTACTTTGTATATGCAAGACAGAGTTCATGGACTCTATTTCTACATACTTAAAGAACAAACATGCTACAAATGAATTATAACAGATTTAATAAGAAGCATTATATAAGTACTTACAATTAGAACATTAATTCTTTCAATAACTACATTATTATTGATATTTCACAAATAAATCAATGAAAATATATTAAATATAGTTAAATACTGTGAATCAGCAAACATACATATATTTCTATGTCAGTTTACAGCAGAATTCAAGGTTCTTGTATTTGTGAAGTTAAAAATGTATTCATAATTTTCAAAGTAGCGTGGAAGAGAAAGTTCCAAAAAAATTCTGACTTGAATGGAAAGAAACATTTTCTTTAAAACAATCCTAAACTAAGTCCAATACTTGGTGAAATTAATATTTTAACTTTGTTGATCAAGGATAGGCCATATGAGAAATACTCTCTAAAGCCCCAATCCTGCAAAAACTAACTTTATGCCTTGAGAGCAGTCCCATTAATTTCTCACAATACATAATTCTCTGTAGGGTTAGAGCATGAATGTATAGTACATGGGTGGGCATAAGTTAAAATGCATGAAAACACAGAAATGCCAATACATCATAAAACATACTGGACAAGTATGATGATTAAACTAGTATATATTTTCATTCTTTTCTACCTATAAATGTGACATTTTCCCATTCATCTTAATCCCTTGGGCCTATTATCAGGACTGTTTTATTGCTGATCCTCATATCAGAAACATACATCTATCTTTCTCCCACCTATTTGGCAGCACACAATAGTTGAGCCAAGAGTGACATAACATAATATTCAGTTCTTGGAAAAACAAAAGCATAAAATGGAGAGCTCAACTATTTGTGTTCCAGCCTATGACGTTAAGGGGAACTCAACTCTAGTTATGATTTACCCCATTCTAATTTATTTTTTCAACTACTTGAAATTACAGCAGGTTATTACTACACATTTATCTGCAGCAGACATCTCAGTAAATCTTTCTCCCTTCGAGAAATGTCATTCTGTAGAAAACAAATAATATTAGCCTATTACAAGCGTTTCATCTTAATTAATTAAGATCATCTTAATTCCACCTTCTCTGTATGTATGTGTAGCTATCTATCTATGTATCTTCTTACTATATGCATCTGATGAAGTGGGCTGTAGCCCAGGAAAGCTTATGCTCTAATAAATTGGTTAGTCTCTAAGGTGCCACAAGTACTCCTAAGCTTTTCAAAGTATTAGACGATGCTGAGATGATTTATCCTGCAAATCTTGAGACTCAATTTGTGAACTTGAAACTGAGCAGAACAGAGAAAGTTATTTTGGAACATGAGCAACACTTCATCTTCATGTGACAGATATGACATTCCACTCAACCCATAAGTGATTCTGCACTTACCTTGGAAACAATTCTCTTTGGGTCCTGTGAAGTCCTGCCAGCCAGCTACTAATAACTGAGAAGCCCCAGAATGCAGCTACCACAACAGTAACTTGGCTGGAGCAACGCAGCCTATCGGTTTGGACATATACTGTAAATATGCAAAAATATTACACAGTTTTGAAAAAACAGCAGTTTACGGCTTGGGATACAAATAATAAAATAACTCTCAAAAGAGCATGTTGCTTGGTCTTAGGTGCAGCTGCAAGCACCCAACTAACACCATTGAGGTCATCCACGTTAACTATTTCATTGCCGATCGGCGGTCACGGCCGGAGAAAGCAGAGCTCCCTCAGTGGCAAGGTGCACGAGCTCCTGCGAGCGCGAAGGGGGCGGCGCTGGGGGCGGCACCGGCACGCACCGACCCCAAGCTGAGCGGGGAGACCCCCTGGGCCAGGCTGGAGCGGAGGAGTCCAGAGGCGCAGCTGAGCTCCCCGGAGCAGCAGGGGCGCGCTCTGCCCGGGCGGGGGGCGTCAGGCCGCAGGGGCCGCAGGGGCCGCTTGCCGAGCTCCCCGCGCGGGCGAGGCGCGCCCACGTCACTCCGGGAGCTCCAGCGCCGCCTTCGCCCGGCCCGGCTGCACGCAAGCTGTGAGCGCGCGGCACGCAGGGGGCGGAGCCCGGCTCGGGGAGCCGAGCCGCCCTTCCCCTTACTTAGCGCGCGCGTGGCCGAGCTCCTCCTCCTCCTCCTCCGGTATCTCGGCGCAGCGGCCGCGCTCTTCTCGCGAGAGTTTAACAGAGCGCGCGCCCGGAGGCATCCGGGTTCCGCTCCCCGCCGCCCCGCACTGTGTGGCCCGGCCGGAGCCCGGAGGGAAGATGGCGGTGGAGTCGCGGGTTACGCAGGAGGAGATTAAGAAGGAGCCGGAGAAGCCCATCGACAGGGAGAAGGTATCGCGGGGCAGGAGCGCTGGGGAGGGGGCGGGCGAGAGCGGCGCCGGCTGCTCGGCCTCCCGGGGGCCGCGCCTGGGGCTGGGGCTGGGGCTGGCGCTGGGGCTGGGGCTGGCGCTGACGGCCTGTGTTTCCCCCTTGCAGACGTGCCCGCTGCTGCTGAGGGTCTTCACCACCAACAACGGGCGGCACCACCGCATGGACGAGTTCTCCCGCGGCAACGTGCCCTCCAGCGAGCTGCAGATCTACACCTGGTGAGCGCGCCCCGCCGGGCGGCCCTGCCCGGGGACCCGCCGCGCTGCCGGGCCCCGGCGCTGCGAGGGCTGCTGGGCTGCAGCTGCCGTATAGACCAAGGGCGGGCCGGCGGGCCTTTTGGCCTGAGGGCCGCATCGGGTTTTGGAAATTGTATGGAGGGCCGGTTGGGGCAGGCTGTGCCCCGCAAACAGCCAGGCCGGGCCCGGCCCTTGCCCGCCCCCCCATCCCGCGCGCTTCTCGCCCCCTGACGCCCACCCCCGGGACTCTTGCCCCATCCAGCCCCCCCATTCCCTAATGCTCCCCTCTCCCCCCCGAGACCCCTGCCCCGTCCACCTCTCACCCCGCTCCCTGTCCCCTGACTGTCCCTGGAACCTCCACCCTTGACTTGTCCCCCCGCCCCACCCCCCCTTTCCTGACGGCCCCCCTGTTCCCTGCCCTGATCCTAATCCACACCCCTGGCCCCTGACCAGCCCCCGAACTCCCCTGCCCTCTATCCAATCCCCGCTCCCTGCCCGGAGCACCGGTGGCGCCGCAGCCCTGCCTCTGCGCAGCACAGAGCACCGGGTCAGGCTGGGCTTTGCAGCTGCGCTGCCCCCGGAGTTTGCAGCCCTGCCGCACAGTGAGCTGAGGCTGCGGGGACAGCGGGGGAGGGGCCGGGGGCTAGCCTCCCGGGCCAGGAGCTCAGGGGCTGGGCAGGAGGGTCCCACAGGCCGGATGTGGCCCGCGGGCCGTAGTTTGCCCACCTCTGGTATAGAGCCTGCCACCTGGCCTGTGCGTTGTTATCACCGCTGGTGAGCTGCTGGGCTCCAGCACACTCTTGATCCAAAACTCCATACAATCTGCCATGCCCTAATCTTCCATAGATGTTAAGCAGCCTTTTAAGTGCCTTTTTCCTTAGGTTTCTATCAGGGTCTTGCACTGTAGTTGTAGGAGTGTGTATTTTTATTAAAAACAACCGTTGGCTGTAATAGCTAAACTTAGAAAGAAGAAGGCTACTATTGACCTGCTATGATACTATGTCGTTTGTAGCCATAGTGACTGGGAATCTCATTCCTAAGATTGGAACAAAGCATTTTGTATGTACCTTAACTAATTATAGGTCATTACTAGAGATTCTGTATTTGATGTGTCAACTGACTGCCTCAGATTTCAAAGATCTATATGTTGGAATACTCTTCATTAATTTGGTGTAAATACACAATACAAAAGACTTCTTACTTCAACACCCTTGTACATTTGAAATTCTTTATTCCAAAGTAGGCCTAAACATTACTTTGTCTTGAAAACTGGTTGTTTTGGCTCCCTGTAGTAACTAAGGCCATGTCTACACTAGCACTTATGTTGGCAAAACTTTTGTTGCTGAGGTGTGTGGAAAAACACACACCCCTGAGCGACATACGTTTTGCCGTCATATTCGCTCATGTGCACAGCACAGTGCTGTGTTGGTGGGAGACACTCTGCTGCTGACATAGTTACCGCTCGTTGAGCTGCTTTTATTATGTCCACAGGTGAGCTCTCTCCCGTCTGCATAGAGCAACTACACGAGCGATCTTACAGTGGCGCAGCTGTATTAGTACATCTGTGCTGCTGTAAGCTTCTACTGTAAATGTAGACATGGCCTAAGTTCCATGTCTCTTGAAGACTACCAAAAAGGTTATCCCAAAATGTTGAGTATTGTATAGAAATTGTGTCAATAATTTTTGTGCTATGTTTTGCATACGTTTCATGTGCACAGTTTGCATGTGGTATTTCGTGTATTGTGGAGAAGGTGTACTCTGGTGGCAACCAGTGTTCTTTATGAACTCTTTTTAGTCCCTTAAGTTTAGTTTGGAAAACTAGTCTGGCCCCAAAGTTGCCAGAGTTACTCTTCAGAAACATTATTTGTCTTCAACATTTGAAGAATGTCAAACTTAGTTAGGTGTAGCTGATGCTGACTGGGGAATGAACTTCGTCTAAAACTTCTTTCTCTCCAGGTATCTTGTTACTACTCCAAACTTCCCATGTAGCAAAATTTTCTTGAAACTTGTGTATCAATGACCTAGTTGAACAACCTATTCACAACAAAAGTTAGAGGCCCAGTCCTGCTGTATTTATTTTAATGAGAATTATCAACCCAAACCTGGTCTGGAAATTTTTGCCTTCAGCAGAAGTCAGATTAGGCTCTGTCAACACAATGCCCTCTATTGACTTGTTGGCGCTAGAATGAACAAACCCTTCCCCTCTCCCCCCTTTTTTTTTTATTGTGCATACCTATTAGCTCTTCTTTTTAGCTCAGATAATTGAATCCTTTTGTTCTTGGAATCTTAGACTCAAGGTTTTAGTCCTGACTGTAAAGGTAGATCTGTCTCCTGTCAGGATAAAAACCATGATCTTATTATAAGGCTGACTTTGACTTCCGCTATCGTGTGTATGTACATTAAAAAAGCTTTCAAATTACAATTTATTACTTTATATTAGAGGTCTCAACTGAGATCAGGGCCTCTCTGCAGTAGACACCTTGCAACTACATAGTGACACTGGGTCCCTATTGTGAAGAATTTACAATCAAAATAGACTAGACAAAGGGTGGAGGGGAAACGGGTACAGTGAGGTGAAGTAACTTGCCCAACATCATAGTAGGTTAGTAGCTAAGCCAGGATTAGAACCCAAATCTGAGTCCCAGGCCAGTGCCTTATCAACTAGACCATTTTGCCTCAAGTGTTTAATTGGTGTCTTATGTCTTCAGATGTTTAGAGTAAGTCCTCACTGGCCACAAAAAAAACATGCTCAGAAAGTTTTAAATAACTGAATTTTTTAGGTTAAATATGGTAACTCCTCACTTAACATTGTAGTTATGTTCCTGAAAAACATGACTTGAAGTGAAATGATGTTAAGCGAATCCAATTTCCCTGTAAGAATGAATGTTAATGGGGGGGTTAGGTTCCAGGGAGATTTTTTTTTTGCAGTACTGTACTATAGTTGGGAGGTTCCCCCGCCTTACCCCACACAGGCACCGCCCACAGGCACTGGAGACGGTGAGGCAGGCAAGGAGGCTGAAGGTGCTGTAGGCTAGGAGAAGCATGTTGCATAGCTGCAGCTTCCCCAACTCTGCAAGCACCAGGGGCGGGGGGCTCAACCCTTGGCCCGCCCACTCCACCCCAACCCCCACCCTTAACCCACCTCCTCTTCCCCCACCTTTACTCCCCACGCTGTGTCCTCGCTTCTCCCTCCTGCCTGTGGCAATCAGCTGGCTTGCGGCATTCAGGAGGCTGGGGAGGGAAGGGGAGCTTAGGCGCTGAGTCCTCGCTCCTTCCCCCTGCCTCCTGAATGCTGCAAGTCAGCTGATTGCTGTGGGGAGGAGGGGGAAGGCGCTGATCTGCGGGGTCTGTCGGCAAGCAGGAGGCGCTGTGTGAGGGGGGCGTAGGGGAGCTGATGGGGGGGCTGCCAGCTGTGGACGAAGCAGGCAGCCAAACAAAGTTATAGCGAAAGCATTGCACAACTTTAAATGGAGCATGTTCGGTAATTGAGCAGGAACATAAGATTGAAACAACGTTAAGTGAGAGGACGTTAAGTGGGGAGTTACTGTACTTTAAAAATGGATCCTCATTGAAGCTTGTGAAGTGACTAACATAAAATACGTATTACATAGAAATACAGAAGTATATAAAAATCTTACACTGCCCAAACGTGAACTATATATTTCCTTGCTTTTACGTGCTGTTTTTGTAAGTGATAGTACATAGTTAACAAACATCACTTACCTTAAACAGGGTTTGACATTTTTATATATTTGACAACCATATGAACCATCCTGATGAGTTGTAATGTCTTTCTTTTTTTAAATCTAGGATGGATGCAACTTTAAAAGAGCTGACCAGTTTAGTGAAAGAGGTCTACCCAGAAGCACGGAAGAAGGGCACGCACTTCAATTTTGCAATAGTTTTTACAGAACTCAAGAGACCCGGTTATAGGTAAATGACATTTCTTCTCCAGATTCATAGAATATATCAGTCAGCAGAGCTGTAAACTGTTTTTCATCAACACTTATTTAAAGTCTGATATCATCTGAAATCAAGTCCTAATAAAGAGAACACTCCATGGTGACTGCAATGCTTCTAAAGTTTCTCTTCACCCTTTCCCAAAACAATGAACATGTGTTTGCCCAATCTGCTAGTCACCTCATAGGCAACCAGCCAGGATATGTACCTGTAGCTTAGCGTAGCAATGGAAGGCTTGTTGTCTCAGGTGGTATGGAGAGTGACTACATCCTCTATCTAATAAATGCTTATGATTTAGGGCCCTACCAAATTCATGGTCAATTTCACAGTCATAGGATTTTAAAAATAGTAAATTTCATGATTTTAGCAAATTTCATAGTGTTGTAATTGTAGGGATCCTGACCCAAAAAGGAGTTGGGGGGGGGGGGGGAACGGAGGTTGCAAGGTTATTGTGCGTGGGGTTTGCAATACTGCTACCCTTACTTCTGCGCTGCTGCTGGTGACGCTACCTTCATTGCTGGGCAGCTAAAGAGCAGCGGGTGCCGGCCAGGAGCCCAGCTCTGAAGGCAGAGCCACCGCCAGCAGCAGTGCAGAAGTAAGGATGGCATGGTATGGTGTTGCCACCCTTACTTCTGTGCTGCTGCCTGCAGAGCTGGGCCGTGAGTCAGCAGCCGCCACTCTCCAGCTGCCCAGCTCTGAAGGCAGTGCAGAAGTAAGGGTGGCAATACCGTGAAACACCCCACCACCCCCTCAAAAGTAACTTTGCAACCCCCCTGCAACTCCCTTTTTCAGACCCCCAATCTGAGAACCCTGTTCTCCCCTGTAAAATCCGTATAGTGCAGGGTAAAAGCACACAAAGACCAGATTTCATAGGGGGAGACGAAATTTCATAGTTCGTGACACGTTTTTCATGGCCATGAATTTGGTAGGGGCCTACTTATGATCTTAAGACTGATATTCCTGTCATAATCGTCCCCTGTCTACCAGTGATGTAGACATTCACTCATCAGTGACCAGTTAAAGGGCAGTGAATGTGTCCTGCTATGTCATCTGCAGTGTTTTCTTTACTAGTTTTGTTCTCTTTAACTTGGCAGACAGTTTTTTTCTGAGCTAAAATTTAATGCAAGTTTACATAATTGTTCTATCCTGAGTTGTATTGTTTGTCTAATGAAGACAGCATGTTGCATGTGAGGGGGGTGCCATCTTAGTATTCAACTAGTTAAAGACAGTGTGGGGGGGACGACACTAAAACCATTCACTAGAAGATTATATTTGGGCCTTAAATGAGTTTGCAGTTGAGAGAGATGGACTCTTTGCCTCTAATTATTAATTTGCATTTCACTTCCTCCCTGTAGGGTGAAGGAGATTGGCAGCACAATGTCAGGCAGAAAGGGCACAGATGATTCCATGACTCTGCAGTCTCAGAAGTTCCAGATTGGAGACTACTTGGATATAGCAATTACTCCTCCAAATCGTGCACCACCCCCATCAGGACGCATGAGACCATACTAAGTGACAAAGTGTCACTTTGTTTAAAACTGATCATGTATATTTCCCTTTGATAGTACTTGCTGCTTGAAACAGGCTCTTTTTTGTTTTTATTGCTAAGCAAGAACATCTGAGAACACACTTAAGCCTTGGAAACATGGGTTACTTTTAAATCTTTATTTTACTTGTTTAGAAGAAAATATCTTTCAGCAGCTTCATAATCCTTTTCATAGTAGTTATGGTCTGAAAAGTAGAAATGTTCAGTGTTTCAAGGTCTCTAAAAATATGAGCAGCATAACATAGAAGTGTTCTAGTTCTGTTAGAAACTGTCATGTTTGGAACAAATATATTGCTATGTCATCCAAAATTTAGTGTCTGTTTTTAAAGATTAAACCAGGTCTGCGTAATAAGTGTTTAATTAAACTGTTAATGTCAGGGGTTGTTTCATCAAATTGTGGCCTCTAAAATGAGGGGTGAAGCTTTCCCTGAATGACCCTGTAACTGACTCCTTTGTGGGGTGAATGGAGTTAATGCGGTGTTCACTCTGTGCAAAGTCATTAGAAAACTGGGCTTTAAGTCTTTAAGATAATTTCATCTTTAGTGGTAAGTCTTTCCCAGCTGAGTGAGATTCAGGGAAGGGACTTGGTATCTTTTAAAGTTATGTAGCTGTTTTTCAGATTGTAGAAAAACTGGTAAAACTGGTTAGCTAGTTGATCTAAGACATAAATACACCACATTGTAAAATGTCAGTTGGCAAGAGAGCTAAAAATCTTAAATTCCAAATGCTACATTTACATTGAGTATTTCTTAGGGATAAAGAAAAGGACTACTTATGGCACCTTAGAGACTAACAAATTTGAGCATAAGCTTTCATGAGCTACAGCTCACTTCATCAGATGCCTTTTGTAGTGATGATCAAGGTGGGCCATTTCCAGCAGTTAACAAGAACGTGACGTGTTCAATGTGTCAACTGCTGGAAATGGCCCACCTTGATTATCACTACAAAAGATTATTTTTTCTCTCTTCTGCTGGTAATAGCTCACCTTACCTGATCACTCTCGTTACAGTGTGTATGGTAATACCCATTGTTTCATGTTCTCTGTGTATATAAATCTCCCCACTGTATTTTCCACTGCATGCATCTGATGAAGTGAGCTGTAGCTCATGAAAGCTTATGCTCAAATAAATTCCTTAGTCTCTAAGGTGCCACAAGTACTCGTAGTCTGTATCCGCAAAAAGAACAATACAGCTGCTACGCTGAAACCTTTCTTAGGGATGTTACTATACTACCAAACTTCACTGTTAAAAGTATTTGTCATGCTCCTTGGTTAAACTGCTGAAGAAGTAAGCCATCCCTTTCTTGCTCATTTCACTTTGAATTCCTGTAAACTGCTGCTGTTGACTTTTGAACAACAAAATTTCAGTTGGAAAGAACTTCAGTGTCTTAAACGCTAAATAATCACCTTTAAAACTCAGCCACTCAGCTGCAAAGACAGCTCCAAAACACTTCCTGTATTAAAAATGAGATTCCCCCTTTCTCTATCACTTCTTCCTTTGTCTACAGTTTACAGCAAAAGCAGTTAGTGGCAAGGGTTCCTGGGCTAGAGTCTGTTATTTTTTACTCTTCAAATATATCCACTGTACTCGGTATGGTATGTTAACATCTTGCCTTTTCAGTGTCTGAAGGCTAAATTATTTAGTACAATTTAAACAGGCTAAATTATTTAGTAAATAGAAACAAGGATTTCTAAGGTCACAGGTGTGACTTCCTTGGAAAGTGAGAATGTAAGTACTGAAATCAGGGGCAGATTCTAAATTAACTAAATTCTTACCATATATGTAAAGTAGCAGAAGTCTTTGAAAAGCCTGATGGTGGCTTATACCGAACTGAATGTGTTCAAATAATGTAACACATTCTCTCTCTCCCCTCCCCAACAAGACAGGTGCCTGGAAACACCATAGTTTCTTAGCCACTGCCCCCCTTTCCTGTTGTTCCTTGATTCTTAGAACTGTATGGGAGTTAAAAGGGAGTCCTGAAAGCAAAGACTGACTTTAAGGGTCTGATCATATTAATAGGGAGGCTAATTCGCACAAGAGTGTTTGTTTGCCAAGCTCAGAACAAGTTACACCTGACATGGCTTGCGAGATTCGGTTTTCATTGTATGAGTAATGATCTTCGATAACACTTTAGCTGTACCTACTATACCAGTGCTCCCATGACTGACTCCCTCTGTGAAAGGTGCCTACCCCATCTCCAGCCAGAGTGCTATGCTGCCTCACTGGTTTGAGTCTTCTACAGAAGGAACGGACATAAGTTTTTTATGAGTATGTACTTTATTTTTAGGGCCTTACCAAATTTATGGCAGAGAACAATGCATCACAGAGTGGGAAATCTGGCTGTGTAGGGGGAGTCAGGGCTCCCTATCCCAGAGTCGCTGCTCCCAGATCCTCATCTGCTCTGCCTTTCCCCCACCCCATTTCCTCCTGTCTCTTCTTGCTCCCAGTTCTCCTCCTTGCCCAATCTTAGAGTCCCCCCACCTCCGTTGGCCCCTTGTCCTAGTCTTTTGCCCAGGCAATCCCATAGCTCCTTTTGTCAGATATCTCCATCCTTCAGCAGTGGTTGCCAGTTTGCCTCCCTGACCTTGTGCAAGCCCAGTCCCCTTACCGACCATTCCAAATAGCTTTTGTCATGCAGTCCTCTTGTTCCAAGCCCCTGTATTTGATTCAGGCAACTTACTCCTTCATGCTGCCTGGGAGTCAGGGCCAGGGTGCATGGTCATCGACAGCACATGAGAGAATCTCCCTGTGTTCAGTTCTGGCGCTCAGACCTGGCATAGCCCACAGCAGCTCAGAGCTGCACTTGCAAGGAAAATTATTTTCAGCTCTCTGCAGCATAGCTAATGCAAATGGACTCTGGGGAAATTAAGCTGCAAAGCTCTAGCCCGTGAGAGCATGCATGCTGCAGTTTTTCAGATACTTATAACTTGGCCAAATTTGAAGGGGAGCAGCAAAAAGCACATCCCTGACAAATGCTAACCTCCCCCAGGCCACGTTTCAAGTCCCTGGTTCAAGGCATTGGTCCTCCCTCAGCAGAGAGTCCTGGAATTGATGACTTCTCAAGGTCCCTATCAGCCCTACATTTCTGAGGGTGCTAGAGCTTTTCAAAGAGAAGGTCACCAGAAGGGCCAAATTAATTAATGTACTTTTTGCTTGTTTAATTCAAAATAAATAGGACCCTATCAAATTCATGGTCCATTTTGGTCAATTTCATGGTCATAGGATTTTTAAAATGGTCAGTGTCACTTTCAGATGTTTACATCTGAAATTTCACAGTGTTGTAACCATGGGGGTCCAGACCCAAAAGGAGGTAGTGGGAGGGGGGTGGTCACAAGGCTTTTGTAGGGGAGTCTTGGGATTCCCACCCTTACTTCTGTGCTGCGGCTGACAGGGGCGCTGCCTTTAGACAGGGCAGCCAGAGAGCAGGGTCACAGGGTATGGGTGGTGGGTTACCATATGCCTGGGTTTTTTAGGCAGCCTCCTGGCCAGGTTTGAAGCTGCAGCCTTTCTGCCTTGGGGCGGGGAGGGGGGCTGACATCCTTTTCAAAAAAACTGAGCTTGCTTGTCCCAAGGCGGAGGACTTTTCATGCAATTGCTCATTCCAACCACCAGGTGTCACTGGCATCAAGCACTAGATTAAGGAAGCTGAGAGAGAGCACATGCCTCTACTGGAGCCCAGGCAGTGACAGGGAAGAAAGACAGAACTTGACTCCTGTGGAGAGGTATGAGAAACATCTGGTCTATAAGGGGAATAATCACTTACTATTGCTACCAATTACTTCATTAGCTTGAACCCTCAAGCTTTGTGCTGCCGATCTATAGGTCCCAAATCTGGTGCTGATCCATCTGGGGGCCACATGATAGAATTTGCTTTTTTAAAAATTTAGGAGGATACATACAGAAAAATTAAAAGAACATTTAGCCTGCAAAGTCAAGCCCTCAAAAGGCCTGTGCAACCTTAATTTACCCCCCTTTGTGCATATGTATTATGATGTGGTCTTTAATTACATGATCATATTTATTTTCTTCCACAAGACCTCTGCCTCATCCAGTGCATCAGTGTGCTGTGCCCTGGGGATGAATGATATGTGTAGATAGTGAGGCAGTTATCTGTAGTACATCATTTGTTTTGGAAAGTGCAAGGTATGTAGTAAATGAAACAGGACAGTGTAGGAAGAGACAGGATGGACTGCTGAATGCTGCCCTTGAGAATTGGATTCTATCCCTGGCATAGACTTCTTATGTGATGCTGGGCAAGTCACTTAAACCAAACTTTTCACACTGGGTGATAGTTTCTGCTTTTTCTGGGCTCCTGACTGGAGGCACCTGGGGCCCAGATTTACGTAAGTGCTGAGCACTCTCAATACATGTGAAGTCAGTGGTAGCTGTGTTTTGGATATATAAAGTGCAATAAAATGTGAACTATTTTAGAAATTAGTCCCAGCAGAAGGCCCTGTAATTTAGTGGACACTTTTGACAGTTTGGGCCTTAATCTCTCTGTGCCTCAGTCCCTCAACTGTAAAATGGAAACAATACCACCACCCCTCATAGAGGTATTAGCGAAACACTCAGATACTGCAATGAGAACACCACAGAAAAAGCCTATGAGGAAATTAGTAATTTTATATTAAGTGCAATCTTTGCATGGTGTGTAGTAAATAAGGACTAAAGACACACGTTAAATAAGGATAAAAAGAAATATCAAATAGCTGGTCATTCATCAAGCAGTGTCCTCCTGCGCACTGAATGAGGCTGAGGCCTTGTAGAAACAGTAGCATATTGCATATGAACATGGGGTAGGAATTAAGGTTGCCTGGACAATCTTGACACTGGTACTTCCCAACATTTGAATGCATGACTTTGCAAACTTAATATTAAAAAAATATATAATTCCAATATAATGTTCACACTCCCTGCCTGATGCATAAGTGCACAGAAGGAACTGCCTGTACACACAGCTAGCAGTAGGTTATAGAGAGGCCAGGCTCTCAAAAAGAGAGCTTCCCCAAAGAGTATAACCAAAACAACTTTCAGGTCTAGTCTACACTCAAAAAGTTTGCCTAAGTGGTTGTACCAGCAATCCCCCCAGTGGAGAGACAGCTTCTACTGGCAAAAATGTGTTTTTGCTGCCTGTGACACAGGGGTTCCTTCTGCCTCAGGCCTGACAAGCTTACTACACCTAATAAACCCCTGTCATGGTATTTATAAAGGGTAGCATGTGGTATCTCTACCAAGAACTTGTAATTTATCAGTACTCACTGTGAGATGTGTGTAAGGGTAATATTTAAGGAATAACACAACTGTATTAAAATATGTCCTTATGGTTTTGGAGTGAAAGTGAGTTGCCAGGGAATCATATGTCTTGATGGTGATGGTCC